TTTGCGACGTTTAGTCCTGAATTTTTAAAAAACACCGAGATTTTTTTTTTTAATTTTGGTAAAAGCTATTTTCGAGGGCCGATAACTGCCACCAGCTCCTGTGACCGCTGCTTCAGGAAGTTGTGCAGTTATTTGCGACGTTGTGTCTTGGATTTTTTAAAAATATAAAGTTGTTTCCCGATACTGGTATTAAATACTTTCGGGGGCCGATAACTGCCACCAGCTCCTGTGACCGCTGCTTCAGGAAGTTGTGCAGTTATTTGCGACGTTGTGTCTTGGATTTTTTAAAAATATAAAGTTGTTTCCCGATACTGGTATTAAATACTTTCGGGGGCCGATAACTGCCACCAGCTCCTGTGACCGCTGCTTCAGGAAGTTGTGCAGTTATTTGCGACGTTGTGTCTTGGATTTTTTAAAAATATAAAGTTGTTTCCCGATACTGGTATTAAATACTTTCGGGGGCCGATAACTGCCATCAGTTCTTGTGACTGTTCCAGGAAGCTGTGAAATCTTTTGGGTCATATTGTTCTATAATTTTCAAATATTCATACGTTTTTTTTCATTATGTTGAGTTCGGATTAACCGGAACCAGCGCTCCGGGGCGCTGTCGCTATCTCATTTTAATTCGCGACGAAAATTAAATAGCGATAGCGCCCCGGGGCGGTGGTGCGCTTAATTCGAACGCATCAAATCCTCATTCTGTCACCAATAAATTTAGACTTACGATCCATCACCATCGACTTATGGATAACAAATTATTATAACCAATAAAAAATATCATAACTATTTGTTTATAATTAAATAAACAAATGAATGATAAAAATTTAGAAAAAAAATATTCACGAATTAGAAAATAATTGGATAAGATTATGAAAAAAGATTAAAAAGATCTAAACATAAATCTTGGTTTTTTATAAAAATTATAGGGAAATCTGATGTCGACAACTTCAATAGTTCCTGGAGAAGCGGTTACAAGAGCTGGTGGCAGTTATCGGCCCTTAAAAATATTTAATACCAGTATCGGGAAACAACTTTATATTTTTAAAAAATCCAGGACACAACGTCGCAAATAACTGCACAACTTCCTGGAGCAGCGGTCGCAGGAGCTGGTGGCAGTTATCGGCCCTCGAAAATATTTTTTACCAAAATTAAAAAAAAAATCTTCCCGAGTCAAAATATAAATTCCAATTTGAGCCTCAAAATCCTCAGTGAGGTTTTTGAGGGCAAATTTGGAATTTCAAGATAGATTTCAATATGGAAAGTAGTCACGATTTGAACCTCAAAATCCTACTTACGGACGGTTTTACAACTTTGAGGGTAAAAATAGAACTTCAGAATTCACGTTTGAACCTCAAAACCCTCACAATATTCTTCAATAATTTTACTATTAAAAATTTTAAATGAATATGGCACTATTGTTTTTTAAATCCTCCCTGCATTTTTTAAATAAACAAATGGTTTTATCTGATAAAATAAATTCAAAGTGATCGAGGTGTAAAATTTTTTGGCAGTGGTACAAGTTGTCATATAACATTTTAGTAATTAATTTCATCAAAACAAATTAGCCAAATTGAAACCAAAAAAAATTTTTTTTTTTTTGGGATTGTTGTTTCAATTTGGGTGTTCAGATTATCGTTTCATATACTTAACACGTTTACCTTTCTTGTTTCCCTATGTATCGAAATTATATTAATCTAAAATCGTACGACGCTCGGACTCGAACACGGAACCCTACGCTCTCTAAGCCTAAACCTAACCGACTACTCTATACTACGCATGTAGTTGTTCTGATGATAACTGTACATACTTTAAACATATTGGAATTCTCATTTTATCCTCATATTCCTCAATGAGGATTTTGAGGCATTCGTTCGGATTTGAAACCTACTATAT